CTTTCTCCTTCTGCCGCCGCGACGTGCGAGCTGTCTGGCTGAGATAATAGTCGGCTCAGAAAGAAGCAACGCGTGTTTGGGGTGACTGAACGGAGCCCCATCCTCAGACAGATGGTAGGGATAACATTGTTGTGCTTCCTTACTCTGTTTCTGGCTAGGTAACATTTGTGTATGCGCGCGTAATCCCCCGGTGCATACTCACCTGCCGCGTGCACCGTGACGCGGGGACCTGAAGTGATGACCTCGGTTAGTAGCAATATTTTTGGGATCGTGCATTCGTTACAATAGTTAGACAAAGTGTATAAATCTCATTAACGTGCACTGAGTAGGTCATTCCTTAACAAGACAAGGTCGCGCTCCGGGCTGTGCGTGTATCTCCGCTAGATAATGCTACAGCAATAGGCGATCCAGTCCGGATGCGAGCGTGCGTGCGTGTATGTGAATTTCTGTGCATGATAGAGACCCAAGAGAAGCAGTGAGCCATCATGTGCTTAGAGAAATGTTTTAATGTCCTTCTGTGTTTGCAGTGTAATGTCATAGAAGAAATAATCACCTCCAACTGTCTCACTAACACAAATAGATCCAGGCAGAGCACCTTGTTGCTGCTTCACAGTACAATTAAGCTAAACACTTGTTCACCATGGTGCTTTTGTTGTGGTGTCACTTACAGTTAAGCTGTCTCTGTCAAAGCTTGACAGTAATGAGGTGACTGGTGTCTAGGGGACAGTGGACCTCTTCTGGCCAGTCTGGCTTGGGAAGGCTTAAGACATTGCTATGTGTGCACTGAGCCAGCCAGAGGCAGTGGAAATGAATGAGCAGGCATAGATGTTCAATTGGAACAGAATCTGTCCATGTCCTGGTCTTTTAAGCCTGCCAGGCTGCCCCCCCTCCCAGTGTGCTTCCACTACAACCACCATCCACCTCCCTCCCTCTTTGCTTCCATCTCCCATTTGTCCCTATGTAAAAGGCCTGACATGCACAGGCTATTTTTAATAAAAATGAAATAGCCCTGTTGCAGTGAAGTGACTCAATGCAGAGTGAAGTGAAACTGAAACAGCGATTTCCAATTTAGAGCTATGTCACCACTCATCATTTCATTCTGAGCAGACAACAGCAAGTCGTCCTCACGCTTTCATCCTCTATCCCTGCCTTACATTTCACACATATCTCGTACACACTCATACTCCTAAAGACTTCAAACAACAGTGAATGACATACTGCTGGCAACATGCTTATGGAGCAAAGCTGAAAGAGAGAAACGTAGGGTCTGGGCTCAGTCTATGCTGAGACACAACAGCTGAGCAAGACAAAAAGGGTTTTGGAAGAATCACTGCTTGTTGCTAGATTTGAGATGATGGCAAATAGATACAGAGGCTGAACTCAGACTACACATATGGATGTCTTGGCATAATTGGTGTGAAAAATGAAAAAGAAATTCAAAGGTTGAATTTCCTTTGGTGAGAGTACAAATGACTTAATATTTCCTATCATCCCATGGTCACATTAACTGGTCTGGAGCCTACATTTAAGAAAGTGGGTCATATTTGGAATGAAAAAGAACATTCATTTTCATGTGTCCTTCCTTTTATAAGTAGCATTTTGATATATCAAAAAATATTATGGCTGATATTATACAGTGCCATCAAAGGCGTATGCTTCACCATAGGAGCACTCTGTGCTTATTTGCATCTGAATTAATCGAAGCACATCTTTGACTGCGTATGTGTTTAGTCATATAAGGCCAGAGGATACAGATTTATCAGCTGGCACGGTGTCATTTTAGTACTTTAGCTGTGATATTAATCATTTGCATCGAATAGCGGTTTGTGCAGAGAAACCCTTTTAGCTTTTTTAAAAATCATTTTAATGCTTAAATCTTTCACTGCAAGTCTGTTCCGAACAGAGAAGCATTTATGAAAACTGTTTCAATTTATTCGAAGACCATATGTCTGTGTGTGTAAATGAATAATAATGGATCCTTCCATGTGTGCATAAAGGTGAAAACAGAAGTCAGAGGATTTACATTTGTTGCTTGAAATAGTGAGACAGAGTGATGGAAACACTGTGATTGCACAGTCTCAGTCTTGTTAGGCTGCTGACACTGTTCAGTACATCAGGTTTCAAAGATCAATGGCCACTATCTGACTCAAATACTAACGAAACTCAGATCATTAAACTTTTGGTAAATGAGGACGAGTCATTGATTAAATTATTTATGAGCCTAATTCATCTCTTTAGAGGAACTGCTTTCTCCACTGGGCATTGAGGCATGGGGAGAGCATCTTAAGGATGACATCAATCACCTGATGTCCAGGCAATTATGTGTGACAAGGAACAGTAAAGTACCTGAGCTCCACCTCATCAACAGGCCCTCAGGCTCCAAATTAATTGAAAATTTTTAAGACCACACTTAACTGTCTGAGAATGCCTGAGTGATCAATAACAGGATTGAAACACAGCAGCAGTGAGAATAATATGCCCCACTGCATTTGTTACAAAGTGAGCTCTCAGTTTTTGGGTAATTTGTTATCAGACCATAATGTTCTGTGAAAAACCTGTTGCTATGTTTATTACAGCAGCTGGCAGAGAGCTCAGTTTAGCAAACAGAGCTGTTCAACACAGCAGAGAAACAATTAAATCTACCATTTTGTCTCAAAATCCTCCTCTTTGTAAACTGATGAGTAACATTGTCTTTTCACTTCTGTATCTTGAAGCACTTCTTTTCCATTTCAATGAATACAATGAAGATTACACTGATTATGTGTTCTCTCAGGTGAGCTTCTGCTTCGTGTGTGCTGCACAGGCAAATGGAGAGAAGGTGAAGCTTCAGCAGCAACCTGAAGCAGGAGAAGGATAAACACAGTCAAAACACGAGATGGACCACCGTGAAAACCTGCATCTGATCAGCCAGCGGTCAGTAAATCTTTGAAACGGACTCTGTAGTGAGCCTCAGCTATGGCAGCATATATTGTGCTTCTTTTTCTTTTATTCTTTAAAGGAGAAAGAAATGGCCTTTCATTAGCTGTTTCAGAGGAAGGCCAGGATTTGCATGTAATTTCAAGCAAAAGACAACAAGTTTTACTTCACTCAGAGTCCATGGACACCCTTTTTGTTAATATCAAAGAATTGGAAAGCCAGTTGCACAATAAAGAGGATGATAAAAGAGCCCTACCAAGTGTGGCTTTTAAACACACTGACAGAGAAGCAAATGGTTTTGACTTTCAGAATATACTTAAACATCCTGAAACTGCTGCCAAATCCTTAATTCCCAAACACAGCCCTGAGTTCACTCTGAAGCCAGAGAAAAGGAGCGGTTTGACTAATGGAGAGGCTGAAGGTGCAATCATTGATCACAGTCTAGCTCCGAGTTCAGAGGGGCACCACACTCTCCAGCCTGAGTTCCATTTGGAGACAGGTGTCGGTGGCGTTTTGCCTGAGAGGACACGGGGCCGCTCTAAGTGGGTCACAGAGTCTGAAGACAGCAGGCTGCGACCCCGCTCTCGCTACCGGAGGAGCTGGCTTTGGAACCAGTTCTTTGTCATCGAGGAGTACCGAGGGCCTGAGCCTGTGCTTATTGGACGGGTAAGCTGCTGTCAGCATGCACAAGTGAATCACCTGTATCTTAACTGTCTGGACTTACATTTGTGATTTCCTCACTTTTTCCAAGCACATAAAATATATTTTGTTGAGAAATGATTATCACGCAAAAAAAAAAACTCAAACAAAAGTCTGCTCCGTCCATTATAATAACCTCTTTCACTCAGTTTGACTTATTTCCCCTGCTCTACGATTTCACTGCTCTGTGTGCTTGCAGACCCCTGGACACCTTGGTCACAGGGGAGTAAGGAATCACTGGGAGATGGTAGAACAGCTGAACCATCCTACATAAGTGGTTTATACAGTTCAAAAACCGTTTTGGTTTACATATCCACTTTTATGAATCTTGATTCAAATCCAGAGGTATTAATGCCTAAGTCACTTTTTCAGAAAGTCAAGTTCAAACTCAGAATTCATGCAGACTGTTCTGAACACAACCCACATAGTGAAACGCACTGGTTCTAAAAGGCTTCTGTGTTGTGGTTGTCCAGTCAGCATGTTCACTATCACCTGCTTCCCTTTTCATTAATTAGCTTAGTTTACTGATACGTAGGTCAACTGGGCATGAAACAGGTCAACCTGAATATTAAGAGTGGCCCCTGCTGTACCACATGCTTGTTGCACTGTACATTTTGAATTTGAGCAGTTCATCACAGTATGAATATTGAATTTATTGCCATGATTTATCCATGATAAAGTTCAAACTTAGCTTTTTAGCTACCTTGATGAATGCTACAGCAAAGACAATATAACCTTTAATGTGAGTCTTTTAAAAGAGTTTATTATTTATAAAGATGGCAGAATTACTATTAACCTCCTTGCTTTTAAAACGGGATGTAGTACACACTGTCCAACATAATCATATCTTAGATTTGGATAGATTAGATTTTATTTTAAGATGAAGTTGAAAGTAATTTTATTTATACAAACTAGTAACAATAATGTCTTGGCCAGTATATTTAGCTATCCTTAATTTAAGCTTTAAGTTTATCTGGCAGAATATAGTTAACTAACTATCAAGATAGCAGGGTTGCAGGAAGATAGAAATTGATAAAGTACTATAGGTATGTAAGCAAAACTGTATAACATGAGTATGTGCCTGCTTCCTTATCCCAGTGTTTCCCTCCTTCCTTAGTAAGCAATATATTACTAGCAATCCTGGAGACAAAACAAACACTTACTGTAGAATTAACTCCCACTGGCAGGCCAACGTGAGGCTGCACAGAGTGGATATGTTGTGTTGATATTAGTGAACATGCAAATATATTTACTGTGGATCGAACAGATTTATTTTTGCTGTGATAATAAATGTCTAAAAAATAGAATGTGCTTGCAAGAAATCTTTTTCTGTGCTCAAAAGCGCTCAGAATGAGACTCACATATAAATATAACACCACATAATTGCAGTGTTTGTGCAGCAGCTCTCCCACTTGTCATGTCACACATGTGCTTGAGTCTTTACAGTCGCCACACCGGCAACCTTCAACTGCTGTCGGTGTCTCAACATGGAAAGTGCCTGAAATGATTAAATCCACAGCGCATCTGAACCATTCACATCCCAGGGGTTTACTTGTAGCATTTCACAGTCAGGCGCTCTACACTAATGCAGCTGCTGGCAGCTCCAATATACTCACAGTAGGATTATATCAGCTGTAACGCTAACAGGGAATGTTGCCAGCTACTTTGTAGCTAGCTGTATACTTTATAATGGCAGTCTAGATTGGATTCTCACCAGTGCAGTATACACCTCATAAATGTTTAATCCTCCTCTCTGGTTGTTATTGATAGAGTCAGGGAGGAGTGTTAAAGCAATCAGTAGACACACAAGACTGTTTGCTCCTCTGCAAACGCAGTCTTGGTTTTGATATTCACATAATAAAGCATCCTTGGATTGCAAGGGGTTGGAAACACATTTTCCCTCATAGGCAGCTTTCTTGCCAAAAGTTTAGAGACAATCATTTCAGGCCCATTGCTGGTGTAAGGTTTGAGTCGGGCTATGAAACTGCAGGTGCCTCAACTCATGCGAAAAAAGGAAGAATTTGGCAGCCATAGAAAGCAGTGTGAAGCAGGTATAAACCTGGAGGCAGATGTACTGCATGAGTGAGAGGAGGAGAAAATTCAGATTACAGAGTAGGAAAGAAAGTGACAAAAGAATTCTTTTTTTCAGCTTTGTTTGGTCGGGGGGCTGGGATGTAATATTCTTCCCCTCTATGCGAGTATTTTTCCATGCTGACTGAAGCACAGCAGGACTGAGCCAGCAATTAGCCAATGAGGAGAGGAGGGCCGGATAGAATGAGAGTGGGGGAAGAAGCAAAGAGCAGGGGAGCAAGATAGGCACAGACTCTGACAAAGATGTCTCTTGTGGTGAAGTGTGGGATCAAAATTGAAGCTAGCTTTAAAGAAGAAAAGAGTGAAGGGATGTGGGTGTAAGGATGAATAAAGAACCCCAAGTCCCTCATCTAGCAATTTGTAGGGTATTCTATCATGAGTTTCTATAATCCTCAGCTTTATCCTTCAGCATATACACACCACACAGAATGTACTATACTCTAAACTTACATTTCCTTCTGGTCTCTGTCTGCATGCTGTGCAGTGAGTGAATGGCACTAACATGAATATACTGTTGCAAACATGTCATGTAACAGAATGAATGTGCTTTGCCAGATTTATTTGAAATTGCGCTGCCAATTTGAAGCAATCACTGTTTCAGCAGAATTTGAAAATGGACTCCTTAGTTCTTATGGGTATCTACAGTCCACAGCAGAGTTTGTCAGTAAGCCTTGTGGATTATGCACATGTGCAGATGTGCCTTAAGGGTAAAGAGATGTGAAGGTTCCTGGTCAGAAAGCTTGGTGTGATGAAAGCTGGCTAAGCTCTTTAGCTTTTTCTTAGCTATTTCTGTGTGTTTGGCCGTTTACCTATCTCACACTGACATCCTCGCTGCCATTAAATACCGAACCAGTAATCTGCACCAGAGAGCAAAGCAGATTGTCCGAGGGAGAGCGAGAGAGATGAATGAGAAATGTAAGCAGATGGACATTCTGTGTAACTGAGGTAACTTGGTGAAAAAAGAGAGACAAGAGGGCTGGAAAAAGAAGTGGTTTTAAAAATACAGGGAAATCAGGCAGATGGATTTACAGGATGGGGAAGGAAGGGACAGATGGATAGTAGAGACAGACAGATGTACAGATGGATAATGCATGTGATAGCAAAAAGCATCTGTGAACATACATGTAGGACATTTGCAGGGCCACTGTCCACACTTATGTGGTTTTGCCCGCAACAAACCTCCAATGGCGTGCTTGGTCCAATGAGTTAATTAGCTGTGTGCATCAGTACTTATCCTGGTCCCATATGGATCCTCCACACCTGGTGCCATCCATTTCAAATTCACTGAGCACATCCCATCTTTACATAAATCATCCATTTCACATCAGTCATGCTGGCACCATTGGCCAGACAGAGATGGGTGCTGATGAGTTGATACCTGCATCAGCATATTGTGATGTTGCCTGAAGATGTTACAGTTATCAGCTTTGTATCGTTTTATGTTCCAGCTGCACACAGATATGGACAAAGGAGATGGTGAAACTATGTACATGTTGGAGGGAGAGGGAGTGGGCTCTGTGTTTGTGATTGACAGCAACACAGGCAACATACATGTCACCAAGTCTCTGGACCGTGAAGAGAAGGACCAGTACCGTCTCATTGCAACAGCTCGAGACCGTCAGACGGGCCAAGCCCTGGAGCCCTCCTCTGAGTTCATCATCAGAGTGCAGGACATCAACGACAACCCGCCTGTCTTTCCTGATGAACCCTATGTAGCCATGGTGCAGGAGATGGCCAACATAGGTACAAACAACATTAAAGTGATGTTGCACCTAAAATCTCTTGAAAGATGGCTCTAAAACATTGAGAGCAGGGCCTGTGTTCAGCTTGCATTTGGTTCACTTACAATGGATTCAAAGTCTAAGGCTGTGTCTGAAATCTTGTTCACATGCTCACTACTCACTATAGCGTTTCCATCCACCATCCAAGACAGAAATGCCACACTTCAATTGTGTTTTCTACATTTACTTTTTTAAACCGTTTGCCTGGCATTCTGTATTTACATCATCTAGTTGCGCTCACCTGATGGTTTAATGGCACCTGACTACAAAATGAGCACTATCAGCTGTTTATCTTGACAAACCTACTCCTGATATTCACATAACCATAGTGGATGAAAACTTTAAATTCCTTTGCTGATTTTCAAGTTCTTTTGAAACGCGTGCTACATTTGGACAGATAAACTATTTGAAATGCAAAATAGTTTACACTGAGAAGTAAACAGAAATTTCAAGCACATTTTTGCATCATCACTGACAAATGTAGTTGCACAACACAAATTTTTGCATTTATAAAATGCATTGAGTTTCATTGTGAGCTTGTTTGTAGAAAGTGAGGCAGACACTACCTTTCCACCCCAGTGTCAAATTTTTGAGGTTTTCATAGTGGATAAATGTACTTTACGCTCTTAGTAATAATGACACTCAAATAAAATGGCAGACAGATATAATAATAATAAATAGGGAGGGATTTCAGACACAGTCTCTTGCCACGCTAGCAGCTCTGTGAGGTGATAAATAGGCATATGGTGTTTTGAGCTAAATGCTAAAAGTCAGAAAATCACCAAACAGTCCATCTTCACAGTGAAATGAGAATCCAGATTCAATCGTCATCAAGACATTTCACTCAAAGCTTTAATGGCACTAGAGGAAAATTTAGGTGATCAGCGGTTTAAACTCATCACCTGGGCAAAATAGCTGTCTGTACCCACTTTCATGGCAGTCCTTCCAATAGTTGTCTAGATGTTTTACTAACCCCCAAATATGTTGGCCCTAGAGGAAAAGCCAAGGGTCTCAAAAGTCACTATTGTTTATCCTCTGGGAACCACGAATGTCTACCAAATGTCATGGCACTCCATCCAGTCACTGTTGAAATATTTTAGCCTGGACCAAAGTGGTGGACACACCAATGCCATCCCTATGGCCTCGCTGCTAGCATGGCTAAAAATGGAAGCAAATTCATGGAGACTACTTACTGCAGCATAACTGATCTCCTTGCAGTGCATTCATATTCTCAGTATCCTAGAAATAGACTACTTATGGCACAGCTCCAGATATTAAAAGAAGGCATTTATTCAACAAGGAAATAGGGTATTTAGCCATTTTTGTATAAAAATGTTTTGTGCATGCATGGATAGACAGCAGAGAAGTGGATTATCTTTTTAATTCTAGAGATAAGTACCTGATGTTCAAAAGAGTGGTTGTTGGTGGAGCATCACTTTAACACCACTCACGAACCAGCCACCAGATTTAACTGGTACCCTACACTCTGAAAGGGCTCTTTGACGTGTCACTTGCAGCTGTCATCTCCTGTGTTTCACAGGCACGTCCATAATCCAAGTCACAGCCAGAGATGCTGATGACCCGACATATGGAAACAGCGCCCGGCTGGTGTATGCTATTACTGATGGCCAGGACTATTTCTCTGTGGATCCACAGACAGGTCTGGCTGTAGCCTACCACATATTCCCTCAAAGCTGTTTACCTTATCATGCCACCCCTGCTGATGATTACACTTCACACAGTAAATCCCAGTGGTGCTGTTAGTTGTCATATGTGTATCCTTTCTACCATAGGTCCAGCGTGGATACAAATATTTTAAATCACATTTTATGTGGTCCTTTGTCTAGAGTCATATTTTTTTCCCATGTTCCAATTTTAAAATGTATGCATATGACTTCCTTTGACACTAATTTTGGGTGACATTGTGTCTCTATGAAATCTATTGCTATTGTGATTTTTGCTCCATGTCACGCTCTCCTCTTCACCAGGTGTCCTGCGGACAGCCGTACCTGACATGGACAGAGAGACTCAAGATGAGTATCTGGTTGTCCTCCAAGCCAAAGACATGGGGGGGCATCTGGGCGGGTTATCAGGGACTACGACCGTCACTGTGAAGCTGAGTGATGTCAACGACAACCCCCCTCACTTCAGACGGAGTAAGCACTGCTCTTATCAGAACTGTTGGCTGCGTTCACTTTCTGTAGTATTAAAATATGAGCGTGTGTATATGTGTGGGAGTAAAGATTAAAATGATGAAGGATCTTGTAATGGCATTTGTGACAGCAGTCTGATATTTTTTGCCTCCTTTGGGTCCAAATTGCCTTGACAGGTTCAAGATGAAATATAAACTCTAAGTAGCTAAACAGCTTGTCAAGTCCAGTGTCGTGAGCTTTTATTTTGTGCACTCATTCTAATTGTTGTTTTTAATGCAGTACTGTAACTTTTGCCAAGATGACTAGTATTAATATTCGTAAAACCATTCCCATTTGGTCCCTGAGGTTCAAATGCACTGTGGCTTGATGTGGAAGAGTGAAAGATCATGTCCATTTTTTTCTTATCCAGGCTTTTCCCTGTTCCCTACTATTAATATTTCATCTTAAAGTTCAGTGCTTTCTGCTTCAATAGGCAGTAAAATCGCTGCAGAATGTGTCTAACACTTTGAGACATATACTGCATTTCTCTATATACTACCCCTCCTGTGTTAGCTTTTTCCCCATCTTCCCTACTCCTTCTTTCTGACAGTCTCTGCACACTGCCATTCATTTTAATGTTTAAAGCCCCTTTTCCTCACATTGATATATTGCGCTGCAATACAATTCTTTATAGAGGCTATTTAATATTTCCAAATGCCAGCAGTGTGTTATTTATTTACTGATATCTGACTATATCTTCACTCCATCACTGCCTTACTCCAGGTCATTATTTTCTGTTTGACAATAATGCCACACTTTCAGCAAGTGGCTCATTTAGCATGTTTCTAAAAGCCACAGATGTGATTTTCAAATATTCGTAACATGTGGAGGATGAGAGCAATTAACAAGGTCAAACTGCTGTAACTGAAATGAAGGCAATTCTCTGAACTTGCTGCTTGTTGCTGTGCAGAACCACAAACACAGAGAGGTCATCATGTTTGCCAAAAAATCATGACCTGCTACAGATCACTGGCTGCCTTTTATTGCCTGACAGTGTAATCCAAGCAACACAATTACCAGTGAGACCAACAAAGCTCATATTCTCAGTTTAATAAACACAACCATTGATAACAGATTTGGACAGGTAACTAACAATTTATTTGAAGCTTTACAGTTTTATTTAATGTATTTTTATAACATTTTAATTCCTTTTTGTTAGAGTTATAGCCTATTTTGATACAGTGATTAAATAAAAAATTTAATAGTAATGAGCTTTAATTGTTTAATCAGTCAGTCAAACTAATAGTTAATTTTGTTTACAATAGGCCTAATGAAATACAGAAAAAAGGAGGTGATCTTTATATTTGTGATCAAATTCTTTCCTTATTTTTTGCTTGATTAATGATAAAAATAGTTAGGGGTGGACTTGTCAGTAAATCATTTAAGTGTATAAAATTCTACAGAGTCTACAACCATGCTGGCAGGTATGCTAGCGGCTCTGAGAGACTGTACGCACAGCAGGATGCTACTGTAAACTAAATGCTAACAATTGCATGTTCAACTGCTCACAGTGATGGCACCAACGTGTATAGCAGGTATAATGTTTGCCACGTTTACCAGCTTAGTTTAGCATGTTAGCACGCTAACATTTGCTGACTAATACCAAATGTAAAGTACAACTGAGGCTGATGGGAATGACATTAGTTCTGTGGATATTTAGTCATACAAGTATTAGACAACCAAAATTTTTGGCATGACTGTGGTACTACGCTTCTTCTTCTGGGGACTGTGAATGCCTATACATAAAATTTCTTGCAAGATAGTGTGATATTCCATCAGTGCTAGCACTATTAGTGTAGCAACTAATAAATCTTTACATTTGTTTGTTTTATAAAACAGTGAAAAATATCCAGCACTTCAAAAACCCAGAAATGTTCAATTTACAATCATCGTAGCAATTTAGTAGCAGAGCAACTCAGCAATAAAATTTCATATTTTTCCCCCTCTTAAGCCATGCATATGTCTTTGTGTGTCCTTATTTGTTAACAATATGAAATAGTTATTGGTCACTGCTATTGTTCCTCTTCTTTTGAAGGCCCCAAGAGATCCCTTCCTAATAGTATTTCAAGGTAAATGAGGGATGACTAATTTTCCAGTCTTCATTCTGTGAAAAAATTTATTTTAAAGTTCAAAGCTAATCTGAAACTTCAGAGGTCTGAGTTTATTCAAATCAAGTGGGAATCTTTTACTACAAAATGTCCTGTTCATGATACTGCCTCTACACTGCAGCTCAACAAAGGACTGGATGCCGAAATACAAGAAGGGAATTACACAGTAAAATAATTCTGTGATATCTATATTACCTTATTGTACTTTTTCTGAGTGAAACCTCACATTAGTGTTCACATTTTTCACACAAAGTAAGGACTATATATCATGTCACTTACGTAAATGAAACAATCTGTACCTTGTGTAACCATTATATTCATTGTTTTTCCCTCTGCAGGTGCATGGTCATTCTCTGTATCTGAGCTAGCAGCACCAGGTGTGGAGGTGGGCCGTCTCACTGCCACTGATCCTGATCTGGGAGAAAATGCACAACTGGAGTTTACTATCATGGACACTGAGGAGGCTGAAATATTCAATATAAGTGGAAGAGACAAAGAGGCTGTCATTGTGCTGAACAAGGTGAGTGGTGCGGCACAGGCACAGATACAAAGATGACTGTGTAAAGCAGTTTTTGTTAATTACTAATAAAGGTTTTCATGGAGAATCTGAAGTTCTGTGTAGCTTTAATGTTCATGTAATATCACTATGCCACATCCCAGATGATTAAACAAATTTGCTTTGGTCTGGTATTTCAAATGAATTTCATTCAGCTAGTTAAACACTTCAGTACTCCACTAATACACCCTGTGTTGCTGACAGGCTCTGACTCCCAAGGCTCTGCAGACGGCAATTAATGAGTAACAATGAACTAATAAGCAGCTGGTGAAAATTTGGAGCTCATTTGAAGTTGGTAGGCCACGTTAAAGGCAGCCAATGTGTCTTTTCACTTTTAAGGATTTTAACAGCATTGGGCATTCAAAGATAATTACTGTGCAGTGAAATCTTAAATTAAGAGGTTGTGGAGGGTGAAGTAAGAACACCGTCTGACGAGTAATTATCCAAAGTTTTTTTTTTTAGCGGGAGATAAAAGAAAGGCTAACTTAGAAGATGTGACTTATATAGACTTGAAGAAAAGTGACAAAAATTTCATAGATGAATTATGAAGTATATAGGAAGAAATACACAGCACACATATTAATGAATTATATATCATGACCGGCCTTCAGTAAAAGGTAGCCTACTGTCTTCTTTACCCAACAGCTGCTGGATTATGAGACCTGCAGTTCATACACTTTCACTGTGGAAGTTGCCAACCCTATAGTGGATACCCGGTACCTGAGGAAAGGTCCCTTTAAGGACAAGGCAACAGTCCGGGTCATGGTCCTTAATGCTGACGAACCGCCGCAATTCTCCAAGGCTCGGTATCATCTGGATGTGTCCGAAAACTGCCCCCCTGTGTGCTCTGTTGGCCAGGTCTACGCTGTGGATCCAGACACAGGACAAAACACCAACATCCGGTGGTTTTTACACCTTCAATCACTCATTTAGTCACTTGCTCACTCAGGGCTCTCTTCACTATCTTTTCGCCTCTTTTTTCTGCTCATGTCCTGTTTCTGAATCACAGGTACTCCATCGATCCCCAGTCAGACCCCGAGGCTCTGTTTCGCATCGCCTCTGATGCAGGCTTTATCAGCACAGTGATGGAGTTGGACCGCGAGCAGGAACAGTGGCATAATATCACTGTCATCGCCACACAGCGGGGTGTGTCAGCCCCTCTGCCCTCGGGCACTATGAGCAGCACAGTCATATTTCACTGAAAGCATTGCCTAGAGTTGGGAATACAAAGTGTGGGGTAAAAATGATCATTTCAAGATTAGTGTTGGTTTCTGTCTCTTTCAGACAATCCAAATCTTGTGTCAAGGGTTGTGGTTGCCATAGAGACACTAGACCAGAATGACAATGCGCCGGAGTTGGACAAGCAGTACACAACCTCTGTATGTGACTCCAGTGCCCCCGGTCAGGTCCGTTCTTATCTTTGGTTTTTGTACTAACTATTTTTTAAAGCATGAGTAATTTTTTCTTTCTCATTCTCTCTGACTCTATTTTATTTCCCCCCCCTTTGTTACAACCCTGTCATAATGGTGATTAATCATGTTTGGAGAAGCACGTGGGATTTGTGATGTCAGTTCTGAAGGGGAAGAAAGAAGAAGTTATGGAATTCTTTGTCCAGTGAAATGACCCTTTATAAGAGGATAGGGAAACAGTCCTTGATGGCCAAACAACTGGGATTAGGATTATTATTATAATCTTAGCTATCTCAATAATTAATCTTATGGAAGCAAGTCCCTTTAATAATGCTTTAATCCCTTTAATAACAGTGCTTATTCTTTGTGAGGATCTTTCCAGGTTAAGAGACTGAGATGCAAGCACAACAAAGCATCATTTTAGGTGCGCACACATTTATCACTTAATTTTATTACATTACACTGAACACTTCAACTATTATAAAACAAAGACCCAAAAGAAAAAGGGGGAAGAAAACTATAAGGCTATGGTGAGTGAATTAATGAGTAGCAGAGTATACAGTAAATCTGTTTGGGAGGTGGTATGTGAGACCTAAAGACATGAAATGATTGAATGATGATGATGAAATGAAGCAATGAGTCACATCAATATCACAGCAGCTGGTTTGAGATTGTTAATTAGATATTAAAATGATAAAGCAGCAGGGTTTAAGCAAGTCGAATGAAAGTTTTGCACATACCCTAGGGAGTATGCCTATGTTGGGTCCAGATAAACAAAGTCCTAATGAATCTGTCCTGGGCTGACGGAACATTTTAAATGCTGGTAAGTGAAGCTGAAAGTCTGATGAATGAGAGGGTCACAGTTTCTGATGTGTCGTTGGGGGCATTTTGGGGGAAGCCCGGGGAAATCTGTTGTCTGCTCTGAAGCTTGAGGGGAACCTTCCCAACAGTAACATAATGTAAGGATCCTTATACTTCAAATATTACTGCATTAAAATAAACTACAGTACCCTCTTCTACACATGTAACACTAAAGTGCAAAACTTGACAGCAATAGTATGATGTAAAATTTGTGATCCTTAAGATTTCAGTCCTGAATGATTTGATTATTGTGGTAAGAGCAAGACCAATAACAGAAACACTGGATTAAATACTTTTTCTGTTTCCTCTGAGCTCCCTGTGGCAGACTCCACCACTTACAATTTAAATTGCTATACAGAGAGGTAATCACAGAATGTAAATATACTGAACGGTAGTTGCTGAAAAAATAGTGACTATCACTTTAAGTTTGCTTCTACAGTCAAATAAAGTAGTTATTAGTTTTTTCTCTATAACCCCTCAGATTTAAGCAATGTCTGCTAGTAATCACGTGGTGCATATGTCATCTGTTCTACCAAAAGAGTAATCTTCAACTGGCAGATTGGTTCATTTTTGTAAGTTTTAGATGCCCAAGAAAGGTCAAATGTAAAGACAAATATTAACATAATAATATTATTACAGAAACATTTTTATTTGTTTTTTCTGTCCTGTTAATTAGCTTCCAACCCTTGAGATTTATCTTAAGGTGAAATAAGGTTTCCTGTTCTGTCTTCTACAGGTGGTTCAGGTTCTGCGAGCAATCGACAGGGACCAGGGAGAACAGGACACCCCAGTCCACTTCAGCATCCCTCCAGAGTCAAGCTCTGCCCTAAACCTCACCATTAGAGAAACTGGAGGTAGCACCAGTTGGCCCTGTTTTTCTATTTAGTATATGACAGCAGCTACAACTGTTTTGTGCTCATTGTGCAGTGACCGTGTTTGATGTGTGTTTTCTTGCCATGTTATCAGGTGTGACAGCCAGCCTCGTGCTCCAGTCAGCCTTGGAGCCCCTCCCTGGCTTCTCCTCTTCCCTGCTCATCCTTTATGTGCCAATTGTGCTGCGCGATGGGGCCTCGGGTCTGACCAACACTGGCACGGTCACCGTGACCATTTGTCCCTGTTTGCGAGGAGGCATGCAGACAGAGGATAGGGGGAGACAGAGGGACAGGAGCTGGGACAGACACATGGTGTGTCTGCCTGTGCCATCCACCTCCCCGTCCCTCATATTCAGTTTGGTCACCTTACTAGTCATGCTGGCATGTGTCACCACTCTGCTGGGTGGGTTTGAATCACTATAAATGTGCTGGTTGTGACTTTGTCAAAGACGTTGAACAGTTGTGTCAGGTTTGCTTCTGTAATGTCCAGAGAATATGTGGTCATGTGTCCCTTTTGTGTCCTTTAGTGGTGTGTGCTCTCTCGCTGTCATTGCACCATCGGAAGCAAGACTCACACTTACCCTTCGAGGAGGATGATGTCAGGGAGAACATCATATCCTATGATGATGAAGGGGGAGGGGAGGCAGATACTGCAGCTTTTGACATTACAGCGCTGCAGAGCATGCACAGAATGCAGCACATGCACAACAACAGAAACATGTGAGTTGTGCCCAAACATTTTAAAAAGGGGTCCTTTCCGTGGTAGCTTATGGGATTGTGTGCATTTTGTGTGTGACTGTGCCTCGCTGACATTTATGTCTTGGCACAGATGGTACACCCAGCAGAATCCACCGAGGGCCAGGACGCACAGCTGGGGTCGTAACGTGCACCCAGGCCTGGATCCTCAGCAGCGGCCGGGCTCCGCTCCACTCTATGGACGCCTCTGCTACGGCATCCACACACTGCCTGTTCTCAGAGATTATCCAACCGGGCCACTGGAGGCAGGCCTGCAGTTAACACAGCTGACCCAGGGGCTTGCTGGTGGTCATATTGGCAAGCCCCTTGCCATCCAGAAGGACAGCACCTTTGAGCCTCTGCCCCGTTCTCCTGAGATGAGTAGTTATGTAGCTCAGCACAAGTTGGTGAAGAGTAAAATTACAGACACAAATGAAGTCGGTGAACCAAACACTGCTGATACAGAAGGGAATCAGGAGCAGGCCAAGGTCAGATGATAGTAACACTAACAGATAAAAAAGGGTATGGAAGCAAAGAAAAGCCATAAGGACTTGAATATTAAAGGCAAATTAATACCTAATTGTGAAATGTAATCACAACTGAATCATAAATTTAACTGGACAATTTAAATACTGAAGTCAATACACTGAAAAGTTTACCTTTAAAACCAGCTTAATTTCTTTATTTATATGGCTTAAATCACCTTTGGTAAGTTTTCAGATGGTAATTAATTGGAATTACTTCTGACCTAAAGGTTAAAAAAAAACTTAAAATTCATCACATCAGAATTCAAGATAAACCTTAAACATCTGGTCTTCCAAAGATTTGAAATCATGTCGGAATGGAACTGATCAGACTTACGGTATGTCTGATCAGGTTCCATTCTGTCAGTGACATGATGTTAGAAAGAGAAAGTCATCTTAGAGACCAGAGGCAGTTGAATGATCAACAATGAAATGATCTAAATTAAACCACATAATTTCAGGTAGATGAAGTGGCATTTAAATGTCAGCATTAAGGATTCATTACTGATTAAATTTCACTATTAGATATTGAATTGTTTAAAAAGATGTTATTTTGACCTTTTTACATGTACCCCTGCTCAACGCTCTGAATCATGGTCTCTCCCTTGTTTTGGGTTGTTTGTTTTTTACAGATAAACCCAACAGAATTGAAGTCAACACCAGCCAACAACGCAGCAAATCTGACATACTGTGCCCAAAATGAGTCCCCCTACCAAAGTAACACCAGCTTTTCACCAGACCCACAAGAGAGGCGATGGGGGCCATCACAAACTCAGAGCCACTCTGGGGCCACCACCTGTATAGCGGAAGAAATTTACACTGAATCCTCCATTCCCCCCTTTTCAGAGCAGAATTATTCAAATGGAAGTCAAACCAACTCTGGGAACCCTTCTGTTTACCTGAAAGGAGACACATACAGCATTGTGGGCTCACTCAATCCGAACAGTAGAGGGAAGTGCATGAACGGGACAAGCAGGAGCGGGTTATACCCAGCAGGGGTGCAGCTACTGAACATGTGCCTACTCAAAAGAAAGGACTTGACCTCACAACCCTTACCTGGGGGAATGTTTGGCAGCAACAAAGGCTGGCCGCTAGGGATGGAGCCTGCGAGAACAATAGCCACCACCCCACAGCCTCTCGGAATGGAAGACCTCTTGAAAATCCGCCTGGATCAGGTCACCTTTGACCTGTCTCAGCCGCCCTATGACTCACTGCAGACTTATGAGTTTGAGGGCCGTGATTCAAGGGCTGAGTCATTGAGTTCACTGGAGAGTGATGGAGAGAAGGATGATGGGAGAGTGGTCGGAGGGATGGAGGAGTTAAACCAGAAGTTTCAGAGGCTGGTGGAGATCATCCAGGAGAGGGAGAAAGAGAAGGAAGGAGAGGGAGGTGAGACTGCAGAGGCCACTCTCAGTGAGACTCATAAACAATCAAGGGACAAAGGAGCAGAACAGCAGAAATGGGATTTCTAGCCTGCAATAAAAGAAAAGTTTGAGAGAAAGAAAAAGTCTCCTGACAGTGATGGATTTTAAACACAGCAGGGGTGGCAAACACAAAGCCCATGACAAGAATCTTCTTGTTTTTCACCCTGCCAGAAAAATCCAGGAGGCTGACAGTATATTGAAGATTTGTGATGAAATCAGTGCACCGAGTATAGTTTTCACCTCCACCATGTTTAGAAAATGCATATGGAAGCTCTCTTTTTCACACTGCTCTTGTAACTGACATTAATAATGCACCTGGGCTTTCAAAGTTAATGTTATAAAAAATGTACTTTTTTAAAATATTGAGCCCTTGAAAGCTGTATTGTTAGAAAAGAGGCCTCATTAAATATTGACTGGAATTGTGAAATTTGATAGTAATAGTTTAATAAGGGCACACTCACCCTCTAGGAATCTGTGGAATTTGAATGCAGCATTTGCACCTGAATTTGAGAGCTTTAAAACCACACAGTGTACAGCGAAGTTGGGCCGACACTGTTCACAGAGCCTCTCCAGTGAATCAAACTGTATGTTTTTATTCTGTCACCCTGTAGAGAGAATACAACTCCAACAAGTAGTCACCATTATGGTAGCAGAACCTGCTCACTATGCAATCGCAAACAGAAATGATTAGACTGTCACTTTCAAAGACTTGTGTACTGTTGTGAAAGTACAGTAAATAATGTGCATATGTACAGTAGATAAATATGAACCTCAGCTCCAGTGGTTATTGCTTAAGAGTAGACAAAAAGGGGGATATCTGCTGGAATTCACACACCGGAAATTAAGCACTTGATTTTCAGTTAATAAACTGACACAGGATTGCAATACATAGCGTTTCCCATGATTTCACCCACACAAGAATATTTATAATTCATATAATTTGTTTTTGCTTGTCTGGAATTATCTGCAAAGGCTCATTTATCTTCCACCTTTTAAAGCGACAAAAGTAGGTGAAAGCCATTATGTAATACACTGATGAGCCCAGAACCGAGGCAAAAGCAAAATAATCATTTATTTTGAGATTGTGTAATGTCATTTACAGCTTATGTCACTTGGCAATGATTCATTTCTAGAGCTATTTCAAAACTCATTTAATTTTGATAAGATATCAGGAGGAGTTATTAAAATACTTCAACTATTTTTTTCAATACTATGATAAATCCTATTTGACTTTCTGCAATTATTAGCAGGAATTTAGGTCTTAATCAGCCACTGTTCTAACAGTGTGATGCTTTCAAAGTAAATTTGACTGAAAATCTTTGGCATTCTGACAAGAAAAATGAGATATAAAAAAAACTAATGGAAAAAGAAAGTGGGATATTATATGAAGTGCCAAAAGATAACTCGTCATCACACCGACTATTGTTAGGACACTGTAGTTATCTTCCAGTATAATACCACAGGTTCTTGTAGTGTATAACAACATATTGTTCTACAAATGACAAGACATTTTCCTCTCAGATGACAGGACCAGATTTAATCTAAAAATGAATTAACTATAGACACAAGCTGGAATGTGAAAGACTGTCTGTATCACCACTTCAAAAATAGTCAGACAACTAAGATAGTAGAAAATTCAAATATACTTGAAATTCTGATATTTAAAGACACATTGCCATTCAGGAACACTTTAAAAACCAGTGTTTGTGAAGTAAAGGACATCTGTATTTGTCCAGGCAAGTTTCTAACTGCCAGTACAATGGTGCCATCTAAAGTTTCATATATGCATTGCATCCTTGCCACCAGTTCAGATGTGTACAGTGTGTTTTTCCTTTCAAGTTTTTAGGGGGCCTCTGCAGCAGAAGATAAGGGATAGTATGTAAATTATAGGGGGAGGAAAGTTTGTCACAGTATTCAGAGGGTCATGTTTTGTTTTGTTTAATTTTTTTAATAAAGGGATTTTTTTCAGAGAGGCAGTAAAGGCCCTGCGAGTACAGGTTGGAGGTTGGAGTGGGTGGAGAAAGGTGTCAGGAGTGTTGTGTGACAGAAGAGTGGCAGGATGAATCAAAGGAAAGGGGGACAAGACAGTAGGGA